TTTGCCGAATGATGATCAAACTCGCGTGGAAGAGAGAGATACCTGTGTACCAATGGATTCTATATCACATGGTGATGTAATGGAGTTCATTCTTACAGTGGTGGAAGATGAGTCCAATAAGTCAAGTCAGAATGGGCGCGGGATGAGAATCAAGAAAATGTCACTCATTCTTGAATCTCCGTTCACAAATCCGGAGAAGAGGAGGAAGCTTCACAATGTAAACGCATTTGACCCATTTCGAGAGCTAGATCCGATTAAGGCAGATGATTTAAAGAATTGGTTGGTTAATGCACCTAACAGGTAACTATTCTTACATTAATTATTTTTGTGAAGTTGTAATATATGTTTTTATGTTATTTATTTTATGCAATGAACATGTGGAAATGATATTGTTCACGAAGCCAAAAAATTTCTTTGTTGAAATTCAGAAGCAATTTGGATGGCTCGATAATGATGTAAGTACTTTAGCATTCTATATTTTTCTCATACTTCATTTCATTCTTAAATGGCTTTATACATCTGCAGCACATTGACATAGCGTTGTTGTTGATGAGGGCACAAATACATACATATCCTACTATGTTCCCACAAGATTGTGCAATTTTGGATTGTGCTTTTACTAACATGTGCACCAAGAGGTTTGAAGATTTTGAGCTGCATAAGAAACAAAAAAAGCCAGTAGAAGACTTTAAATGGTTGAAAAATATGACAAGTTATATATGGTAAAAATTCAGAATGGAACAAGCGATGAGATTCTTGTACATCGTTGTATATTCCCTGTAATGTGAAAATGAAGCACTGGATTGCACTTAAAGTGGACATTGCTGAACGAATTATATATGTACATGACAGCATGAAGAGTTTGACACGTTTTGAAAAATTGAAAAAAATCATGCGTCCAATTGTGAAAGTGATTCTTGGAATGATGAAAGAAAGTTTGTTATTCGAGAAAAACTACCCACAAAAGCAGTTTCTATGGCGTCAACATACAGACGTTCCACAACAAAACAATGCGTAAATAATCTATCTTTAAATTTTTTTAGATTTTCACTTATTTTGAGAGTGCATATATTTATTATGACAAATATATATTTGCAGTGGAGATTGTGGGATATATGCTATCAAGTTCATAGAGCTTTTATCGGCCGGATTAGACGTGAAACTTATATCCGATGCTATGATTGAAAGTTGGAGGAAGAAACTAGCTGCTGAAGTTTGTGCTATGCATTTCAATCCATAATTGTTTTTTTTTTTTGGGTATATTTTACACGTTTATGTGGTCAGAAGATATAGAACTCCGATGCTATTTTTGTCTAGATGGTAGTTTTGAAATGATTTAGTTGGAAAATATGTGCACGGATGCTGATTTTTGTCTAGTCAGTTTTGGATGTTCATCAATCTTCCGATAAAATTTATGGATGTTTGTTATTTTCATTATAGGATTTTTCATTCAAATATTGAAGCAGACATAGTTGAAAGGGAGATGCAGTTTTTCATGACAATTTATCTATATGGTGTTCAAAAATAGACTATTATATGAAAAACGGCAGTTATGCGTTTAAAACGACAGCATGCCGTTTGGGTCATACGAATAAAGTGCTCTCCTAAAGTGCACCAAAATGTGCTATGTTTTGTGTACCCTAAATGGCAGCCATAATTGTAAAAGGATCACATGTATTGAATGATTACACACGATTTTTTGTATATCGTATACCTTAAATGGCACCCATATGAGTAAAACGTCAATATGTCGTTTTGGGTCAAGGAGTCTCGAATTCACTCCAAAACTAGTGAATTAATGTTGAAACATCTTAAAAACACTGTACGTTGAAAAATTGTAGTATAAGTTTAAACCCTATACCCTAAATCCTATTATCTAAACCCTAAACTACAACCATAAGTTTGAAATGCCCAGCTGTCGTCTTGGGTCAGGAGGTACCGGTTTCACTCTGAAACTAGCACAACAATGTTTGGGACATGATATACGTCTAGGACATGTTGAACGACTACATGTGCTATGATTTACATACCACACTTGCCCCTTATATTGTTCTTCATTGTCAAGTGAAGTGTAGTGTAATCGGTGGGACTATAGAAAAACTCACTATAGTGTGGACAAATGCGTGGATCGTAAAGGCAAAATATAATTCGAACCTTCGTCTATCAATTTTCAAGTGCTTACGGACTTCATTGCACCAAACGGACACGAAATAAGTAGAATTGTCGCCCATACGTTTGAAACACCCAGCTGCCATTTTGGGTCAGGAGGTACCGATTTCACTCCGAAACTAGCGTAACGATATTTGGGACATGATACACGTCTGGGACACGTTAAACGACTACACGTGCTATGATTTGCATACCACACTTGCCCCTTAGTAGGGCTGGACATGGTCTGATTCGGTTCGGTTCTAACGAAAACCAAACCGACCTTCAATCTTATGTGTTTCACGTCTCTCTTTGCTGAATTCTTCATAAATTTGATTATTAAAATTACAGAAAGAGAAAGATAGCGAGCTCAAAATAATTAAGAGAGATGTTGTAGAGTTTTAATTCGATTTTCTCCAGTAGAAACGACACTACGGTAGAATAACAGATTTGGATAAAATTGAGGTCAATTTGATTAAGTTGATTTTGAACTGAAAATTAGAAATAGGAAAACCATATTTTGTGGTTTGAACCAAATTAACTAGTTAACAAATTTATTTAGAAAAAATAAAATAATTTTATTTAAAATAAATTAATTAAAAAAATTACAGAGATTCGATTATTTGGGTCTTAGCCTAGAATCGAGAACCAAACCATTCCCGTCGGCTCTTGATTCAAATACTCGTTCGGATTTTTAATTTGAGAAGAACTGTCGGGTTCGGTTCGGTTCGGGAGTTTTGTCCAGCCCTACCTCTTAGGTTGTTCTTCATTGTCAAGTGAAGTGTAGTGTAGTCGGTGGGACTATAGAGAAACTTACCATAGTTCGGACAAAGACGTGGATTGTAACGACGAAATGTAATTTGAACATTTGTCCTTCAATTTTCAAGTGCTTACGACCTTTATTGCACCAAATGGACACGAAATGAGTAGAAATGTCGCTCATACGTTTGAAACGCCCAGCTGCTGTTTTAGGTCAGGAGGTACCAGTTTCACTCCGAAACTAACGCAACGATGTTTGAGACATGATATACGTTCGAGACACGTTGAACGACTACACGTGCTATGATTTGCATACCACACTTGCTCCTTAGGTTGTTCTTCATTATCAAGTGAAATGTAGTGTAGTCGGTGGGACTATAGAGAAATTCACTATAGTTCGGACAAATGTGTGGATCGTAACGGTGAAATGTAATTCGAACCTTCGTCCTTTAATTTTCAAGTGCTTATGGGCTTCATTGCATCAAACGGACACCAAATGAGTAGAAATATCGCCCATACGTTTGAAATGCCCAGCTACCATTTTGGGTCAGGAGGTACCGATTTCACTCTGAAACTAGCGCAATTATGTTTGGGACATGATACACGTCGGGACATGTTGAACAACTACACGTGCCATGATTTGCATACCACACTTGCCCCTTAAGTTGTTCTTCATTGTCAAATAGAGTGTAGTGTAGTCTGTGTGACTATAGAGACACTCACTATAGTTCAGACAAATGTGTCGATCGTAACGGCGAAATATAATTCGAACCTTCGTCCTTCAATTTTCAAGTGCTTACGAGTTTCGTTGCACCAAATGGACAAGAAATGAGTAGAAACGTCGCCCATACATTTGAAACGCCCAGCTGCCGCTTTGGGTCAGGAGGTACCAGTTTCACTCCGAAACTAGCTCAACGATGTTTAGGACATGATACACGTCTGGAACACGTTGAACGACTATACGTTTTATGATTTGCATACCACACTTGCCTCTTAGGTTGTTCTTCATTGTCAAGCGGAGTGTAGTGTAGTTGATGGGACTATAGAGAAACTCACTTAGTTTGGACAAATGTGTCGATCGTAATGGCAAAATGTAATTCGAACCTTCGTCCTTCAATTTTCAAGTGCTTACGGGCTTCATTACACCAAATGGACATGAAATGAGTAGAAACGTCACCCATACATTTGAAATGCCCAGCTGCCGCTTTGGGTCAAGAGGTACCGGTTTCACTCCGAAACTAGTGTAACGATGTTTAGGACATGATACACGTCCGGGACACGTTGAACGACTACACGAGCTATTTTTTTCATACAACACTTGCCCCTTAGGTTGTTTTTCATTATCAAGTGAAGTGTAGTGTAGTCAATGGGATTATAGAGAAACTCACTACAGTTTGGACAAATGTGTCGATCGTAACGGAGAAATGTAATTCGAACCTTTGTCCTTCAATTTTCAAGACCAAACGGACACAAAATGAATAGAAACGTCGCTCATAAGTTTGAAATGCCCAGTTGCCATTTTTTGCTAAACAAACAATGCTGCTGTCATTTTTATTAGAATCTGACTTAAAAATCTATTATAATTGATCAAAATATATCACAATGTAAAGATTAAATAAATAATTAACGTCCATCCATCCGTAACAAATGTGAATGAACAAAAATGAACACAAAATGAGTAGACATAACACCCATACATTTAAAACGACCTGATGCCGTTTTGGTCTGAACAAACTGTGATGCTATCATATTTATCAAAAATCTGTCTGAAGTAGCTATCATACTTTGTCAGACAACTATCACAATATATCAAAAATCATCATAATCTATTATAATTTTAAGATTATGTTAAACAAAAAGTGTTCTATGCATCTGTCAGCTAGTGTAGAGCATTTTTGCAAGTCACACGATTATGGCCCCTCTGCCATACCTACTACATTTACGAGTCTTTTTTCCCTCTCCTCTTGATGGAATTTGACGGTTTTTTGGACGTCCACTTTGTCGTCGATTCGAAAGGGGTGGTGACACCTTTGGTTGATTGGATATTTTCCAGTCAGCCTCATTTGCCACTGGATATATACATCAGCATATGCTTATTTCCAACTAGCACTGGTATAATAAGGTGAGCACAAACTGTAACAAGATATTCCCTCAAATTTCGCTGCTGCAAGTGCATGTTTACAAGGAAGTTTTTCCAAATCAAATTCCCTACAACTACAGGTTCTTGCCTCCAAGTTCACGATATGCATTTCATTCTCAACACCGACGTGTAACTCATACTCATTTATTGTTACCACTATCAGTCTCTTTGCATCATTATACTTTTTACGTTTTTTATCCTCAATGGGCGGGGTTAGAGTAGTTGCACATTTTTCAGCCTCAATGTGTCTCTCATAAAACCATTTCTGTAAAGTTTTTCTTATTTGCTCAACCATAACAAGTACTGAAAACTCCCTAGCATTCTTGAATAACGAGTTCAAAGATTCTGCATTGTTAGTTGTCATAATATTGTAACGGATTCCTTTAAAATGTGCTCGGGACCAAAATTCATACCCAACTTTCTTTTCTAGGTATTGTCCAACTGCCGGACTTTTACAATATAGATTTGCCATTGATTTTTCAAAATTAATCAAACTATACTCCTTTGCAGTTGTCATAAACAATGGTAGAATATCGGCCTTATGATAATTTGACTTTATGTTTAGTTGTAGATACCACATGCAACATCTATGATATGCATAAGAATAAACAATCTTTATAGCGTTACCAATGTTATCCTTGCGATTAGAAATGAAAACAAGCCCTTCCAACATACCCGTTACCTGAAACAACTCATCGAAGAACCAAGTCCATGATGCATCATTTTCAGAATCAACAATGCCAAATGCAAGAGGATATATCTGAAGATTTACGTCTTGACACGTGGCAACAAGTAACGTATCTCGAAATTTTGATTTCATAAATGTTCCGTCCACAAAAATGACATGTCTCGTTGATGAGTGAAAACCACGTATGTTTGGTCCTAAAGCCATAAAAAAGTATTTGAATCGGTTATAATTATCAACCTCAATGAACGTTACTTTACTGGGATTATTCTTCTTCAGAATATGCAATACTTGGCCGATCTATCATAACTAAGATCAAGTGAACCTCTTAATAGCTCTATAGCACATTCTTTAGCCATCCATGCCTTATAATAATTTATATCTATGCCAATCTCCCAGCAAATATCATTTTGAATGTTTGAAGGTCTGTATATAATGTTGGGATCCTCAAACTTCAATATGATGTGTTTTCCAATCATCCAACAACTAGCTTATCTATGATCTATGTGGCAAACATCCAATGAACAATTATGATAACGTGAATACTTTTGAATTTCAAATTCGTCACTTTCCTTCAATCGTGTTGCACGCAAACGCCATTTGCAAATTTTCTCAACACAAACTACTACATATGTACTCTTATTTGACTTAGTGACCTTAAATTCAAAAGAGTTTCTTACAGCAAGCATTTGTAGTGATGCTTGAAAATCCTTCTTGTTGCGAAAAATTTGGCTAACATGCATATCATCGACGTCAGGAATCTTAACTGATGTTCCACAAGGATTCGGACAGGCAACAACTTGGGAAATGCCAATGATCTCATCTACCAATATGAAACGTGTATTATGAGTAACATTGTCTTCATTTATCACATGAGAATCATGTATGTAGTTGCCATGCACTACTTCTACCCCATTGCAATAATCATCACTTGTAAAGTTCACAAAATCGTTTTAACAATTTTGATTACATGGAGACAACAGTTGCATATAATTGTCATCGGACTGATCATTTTGCATATTCAATTCATCCATGTCCATCGCATTGTTAGTTGCAACAACATTTGAATTGTATTCATGATTCTCCCGAACATTTACAATATTAACATCCATGTCTTGTTGATCAACACAACCCTTTTCTACAAGGGTTCCACAAATTGGAACTTTGTCATGCAAAGAAAGAAACCAACTAACATCCATATTGCAAGTAATCTTTATTGGCGGAACTGATAATTTTGCCATGCCGGAAATGAGAAATTTCATCTCGATGTCATACACATTGGGATCAACCTTAACTGCTTTTCGGACTTCGTTATACAACTCTGCATATGAGATTGTTTTTTATACAAAAATATTTGTTGCGATGTCTTCATCATTCCCTATCCATTTCCAAATCCATCCATCTTCATCACTCTTTTCAAATTTAACAAAATAACAAATAACAATCATTGCACCAGAGTCCATATCTGCAATTCAATAAAAATATAATAATATATTACTCCATTAATTGTCAAAACTGAATACTATGAATCACAGCTTCAATAACAAACAAAATGTGACTCATATTGTTACATAATAGATTTAAGCAGAGCAAAACGGCATTCTATAGTTTAAAATGTATATGTGCCGTTTAAATTTATTTATGATAATGAAATGCTATAAAAGAATGGGGAACAACTAATTTGCCAACAAGTATATCAATACCACCATTGTCTAATTAAAACGACAGCCATTCCGTTTCGATATTTTACAGCAAATTTTGATTACCCAATTGATTTTTCTCATAGTATACAACTAGAAAATAACAACAAATTGATAATTTTCAATTTATAAAGCTCACCTTCAACTGTGTGAAATCGATTCTTGCTAACCCACCTCCAAAATTTGCACTATTTGATTTGTTCTTGGTTCAAGAAAGGGAACTTCAACATGCAATCATTCATTGTAAGCAAGAATAATGCATATAAAAAAGAATAAAGCTGAATTTGAATGTGGGTTTAATATGATGAAAATGGACTTCGAAACAAGAGAAATGAAGGGGATTGGCCGAATTGACATATCCCAACCCGCTAATTCACTTAGGGATTTATATTTGGGGATTTGGGTAATATTCATTTCCAAATTGGACATTTTAGTCATTTCAGTTTAAGGGTATTTAAGACTTTTAATATATAATCAAATAGACTATAGACTACTTGAACAAAAAGTATTGATATAGGCTATTTTACCAAAGATTATGGTTGACTAGGCTTCTAAAACAAAATCCCCAAGCCCAAAATGCATGTGAGTAACTGAGTTGATATTGGAGGATTCAACATTAGTCACTGCATCTTGGGGATTCAACACTAGATATTAGTCATGAAATTCTCTCGCAAGAATGAATGAAACAATGAAACGAAGATCATTGGGATAGTCGAAAATACTATAAGAAAAACTTTCTTATTTTCCTTCCTTGTAGAATTTTTCTTAGCCGGGGGATCAGAAACAACTAGAGAACTGTGATAGCGTGAAAAATTACAAACAGCTGAGCATTCCCCAGTGTTAAAAATTGCAGTGAGTTTCCAAGTTTAATCTAGTCCAATATTAAGAGTATAGCACAAATGCATAGTTTTACATAAAATGTTTCTCTTGGTTTTGTGATATTAAAACCATTTAACATCAAAATGATACTGAATTCGATAAACAAATCATCAACTCCTTCAACCTTGTTAAAAGGTCATTCGTTAAGCATAAATTTAGTGGGAAAATCCAAATTTTCTGCTATAAACAGAGATCACCCAATGATATTTCGTTAAAAGAAGTATATAAAACGCCAATCAAACTCAAATCACTACAAATTACTCAATGTTTTGATCAAAATCTAGTAAATATAATCAAATTATCAAGAATTCCAACCACAAAAAGTAATAATCTATCAAAATTGATTATGCAAGGCAGGATCAATATCATATTCATTGACTTACAACTTTAAATCTTTTGCTAAGAAAGTTCAATCAAATTAACGGTGTGAATTAGAGAGAGGAAGAATTGGTCACCTTAAAAAGCTCGCCGAATTGTGCACTAAAACTGCACGAAAAGGAGTCAATTCAAAGAAAAATCAATTACATTAACAGTGTGAAATAGACAGAGGAAGAATTGGTCACCTAGAAATGCTCGCTAAATTGTGCAGTGAAACTGAAAGAAAATGAGCGACTACATAAGTATTTAATTCGTGTATATAGCGTCTTTTAGATGGTATGAGATACCACGCTTTGCTTAGACATGTATACAGTGGTGGACGCAAACATTTTGAGTTAATGGGCACAATCAAACTTGCGATAAAGTTGTGAAAAAATTAAAGCATTCCATATCTTACTACCATCAAATCTAAAGACAATTTCAAAACCCAGTTACATTGAGTGAGCTACTATCATCTACTAAATTTTGTTCTCTACATCAATCTCAAGCAAAACTGAACAACTCTATGTACTACTTTATTCATCAAATTAGATATTCTAGTTTGAAGTCATTGAAGGAAGGGGGGGGAGGGGAGGGGGGTAGGGGTTATCTTCTCTATTTTTCAACTTCTATTCATGACATAAGTGACACGTGTGGCCTTGAGGCTCCCTCTTAAAGAACTTAGAATAAGGATAAGACAGGCCATGTAATAGAAATTTGCAATATAACATTTAGAATTGCTTAGTTTGGGAAAGAACTTCTGAACGTTTCACTTCATGACAGAATGCACAAGAAGAAGTTAAACGTCCCGATCACAATGCACTATGTTTTCATTCTATTTAGGCCCCGTTTGAGAGTAATTTTTTGCCCCAAAAAATTGATTTTTTGACCTTTATTTCACTATTTCAGCCGTAATTTTTGACGTCTTCTCTAACGAGTGGATCCCATTTTTCTCCTAACGGTCAAAAAATCAATTTTCAAAATTATACCGAACATGCCCTTAATATTTTACTGCAACAATGCATTGTCAACTCATTATTTCTAGAAAAAAACCAACTGGGCAATTTTAAGCTAGACAACTTGAAGCAAGAGATGAGGACAGTATTCATAGTTATTTAGCTAAAGTCCGATTTTGAAAATCTTAGGCCCTGTTCTCTTTATCGTTTTCGGGTCGTTTTCTGTTTTCGATTTTTCAAAACGGTGAAAACGTGTTCTCTTTCCCGTTTTCGAAAACGAATTTTCGAAAACGTTTTCGAAAACGAAAAAAATTTGTGAAGAAAACACAAAACGACTTTTTTGTCGTTTTGGGCGTTTTCAGTGTAAAACTTGAAAAAATTGAAAACGCGGGAAACACTTTTTTTTTTTATTTTGAGAAACTAACAAAAAGAACGCATTTTCAACAATTTCAAAACAAAAACTCAAAATACAAAACTCAAAATGAATTCAAAACTCAAAACACAAAACTGAAACACAAAGAGAACACCCCCTCAGCTTTTGGAATGGTCCAAGTCTCAAAGGCAGGAGTCCTGTTATTCATTTATAAATCAATCTTAACAATTTGATAATTTGGGAAAAGTAATTGGTTGCGCACCATTTCCAGAGCTCTGAAAATACTCATGAGTAAGGTAAATACTTATGAATAAATCCTCCCATCCGACAATACCTTAAACAAAAACAATTCATATTAAACAAATATCACAAAGAAGCTAAACAATTTCAAGCTTAAACTAAAAAGAGAAAGCTCATCGACCGCAAATCACAAATCATAAGTCTGAAATCACAAATCTCACAAATCACAAATCTAAAATCACAAAGTACATGATTGAAACTGGCAGAATCAAATCTGAAATAAGTCTCAAAAAAAGACTGACCTTTTGGAACTTAGGGTTTCAACTTTGCACAATGAAGCTGTCACGGGAGTGGCGGACTAGCTGTATTGATTGACTTTTGAGATAGTTTAGGCAGGGTTTTGCAAATGAACGGGAGGAAGCAGCTTTGGTATCTGATTATCTGATATGTTAAAAAGGGGAGGACCAATTTTAAGTTGGAGGGTCAGATGACCACCAGGACACCCCCCCCGCACCCCCGCCAATGAGCGTATGTTCCGCGTGGTGGCATGCTGCATTGGCACGTGTGTATGCAGATATCGTCAAAATGCAAGTGCAATGTGCCAACCTAGCATGGCCTTTCAAAATACAAGCTAGTTTGGCCCATCCTTGTCTACTTAATTGGAAATTTCATAAACTGGATTCAGTTAAACCAAACTAACTAAACTTCAGAAGCAAAAAATGCATGTAAGTTAATATTTGAGGATTTAGCATTTACTGCTGTTGGGGAACACAAGAATGGATGAAACCATGAAATAAGTTCATTAGAAGTCGTTGAAAATACTATTAAGAAAATTATGTATTGTGCAAACAGAGTGCAAATATAGTGCAAACTAATCTGAATCAACCTTTCAGCAATTTGATCTTGTGCATTATTTAACTGCCTTTGTGCACCTAATCATATTTATGCAGATTTGCTCAGTGAAGGGTGGGTGTGAATCAACACAAAAATCAAATTAAAAGGAAAATACCACAAACAGAAAGAAATATATGTACAACAAAAATTTAAAGACCTAGACCATATTTCAAAAATGTCAGACATGAATGCTGGGATAAGGAGTACTGATGGATTCTTTCTGGGTAAAAAGATAAGTTGAGGAAGGAGCAATATTGAACCCTATATACATTTAGAAAAACGGAGACAAAAACATTGTCAACATAGAGAAGCGTGGTAAATGGAGGAAATATAGTGACTTACAGCAAATATAATGTTGAACAAGAGGTTCAGGAAGTGATAATGCCTTCATAAATACTGACACCATCCATAAAGAGCATACAGATATATAGATAAACAATGACCTTTTACTTAATCTTTATCTTCAAATTCGTTATACTATTTTAATATCATTTACTCCAATTATGATCTGATTCAGATATATACAATCTCAAACAGATGATAAAAATGATCGAATGTCCCACAGATTACTGTCACCATAGAATTACATGATTTATGACCAAGATGAGAAGACCATGGTAAACCTTGATGAGTTTTATGTCAATGGCATTCTCATTTGCAGAGGCGTGTATCATTGTTAGTTACACCTTATTATAAATAAATCAAGCAAATAAAGGATTTTGACCTCATCTTCACCTTCCCAAAAGATATTGATTCTAGGTAGCTCTAACTTTTGTTGCATGTATTCACAAGGAACAGTAAATTTCATAAATTGGAATGGATTCACCTATTTTTATTTATTATTCAGTCAAAACAAACAAATTTAACTCCAAAAGCAAAAAATGCATCAGAATTATTGTTGGGAGGATTCAACATTAGTTGCTGCATCTTGGGGATGAGAACACAGATGCTAGTCCTGATCTCTTGCAGAATGAATGAAACAGAGTTCATTGGGAATGGTCGAAACTACTATAAGAAAAAATTTCTCAACTTATTTTCCTTCTTTTTAGACCTTTTTTTGCTGGGGGTTCAGAAACAACAATATAAACTGTGCATAGCATGAAAAATTACTACAGTTGAGCATCCCGTGTTAAAAATTGAAGTGAGATTCAAATTTAATCTAGTCTAAGAGTATAGCACATTTTCCTTGTTTGTTTGCCGGGGGAGCGGATAGTTTTACATAAAATTGTTCCTCTTGGTTTTGTGATATTAAAGCATTTAACTGATAATGAATTCGGTAAACAAATTAACTGATATTAAATTAAATCACCAACCCCTTCAATCTCTCTAAAAGGTCATTCATTAAGCATAAATTTAGTGGGAAATCCAAATTTGCTAATCTTACATTTAAAAAAAAAAAAAAAAAAGTATATAAAAAAAAGCCTCCACACACAAAAATATTTCGTCTACCGTTCTTTCTAATTACAATACCAAGAAAAATAGGAATGATAAAATGCCAACTAAACTCAAAAATCACAAGAAATTACTCAAATTCCTAACAGACCCAACATCTCCAAATAGACAGATATAATTGCACCTTGAAGGTTCTCATATATCATAAAAGAATCACATAACTTATAGCCCTACACACAGGAGAAGGGTGTGTGGGGGTGTGTGTGAGCACACTACTCTCTCCACAAGCAAGAAAAACAATACTCCCATGTTTTGATTAAAATCCAGTAGATCTAATCACGTTATCAAGAATTCCAAGTTTCCAATAACAAAAAGTTAAAAATCAATCAAAATTGATCCTGCACCGCATGATCAGTATCATATCCATCGGCTAGCAACTCTAAATCAGTCACAAAGAAAGTTCAATCAAATTAACAGTGTGAAATGGAGAAAGGAAGAATTGGTCACCTCGAAAAGCTCGCCAACTTCTGCACTAAAACTGCAAGAATAGGAGTCAATTCAAAGAAAGATCAATCAAATTAACGGTGTGAAATAGAGAAAGGAAGAGTTGGGTCACCTTGAAATGCTCGCCAAATTGTGCACTAAAACTCTAAGAGAAAGGAGTGAATGCAGGAAGAGTGGATGCATACTTTTCTAATGCTTTTATTTATAGTGTCTTTTACATGGAATAAGATAATGTTCTGATTCCATCTTTACTTAGACGCGTATATTACGAGTGGTGGCATGCTGCGTTGACACATGTATATTCGGATATTGTCAAAATGTAAGTGTGCAAGTGCAATGTGCCACCCTGACCTGATGTTATTCATGGAACTCCCACGCAAGAATGGATGAAACCATGAAAGAAAGAAGTTCTTTAGAAATTGTCAAAAATGCTATAAGAAAAATATGAACTGCTCAAACAAAGTGCAAATAGAGTGCAAACTATTTTGAATCAACCTTCCAGCAACTTGATCTTGTGCATTATTTAATTGCCTTTGTGAAACTAATGAAAATTATGATGAAAAGCCCAACCAACATTTTTGAATTCAAACGGCCATGTAATTAATAATTGGGCTGATATAATTAAATGTGCTAACCTTGGTATGGAAGTTATGCATGAATGTAATGCTCGTAACTTCCCCCTAGACCTAGCTTCTATCGAAGCTTCATCAATTTTATGCCTGTGATATTCTCATTTGAAGAGGCACGTATCATTGTTGGTTACACCTCATTGGTCCATCGTCATAAATGCAAGTGAGACTTCCATATGAGATAAGATTGGCATTAAATAGGAGCTATAGTCATTCGTCTTCCATTCTTTTACAAATAAGAATGCAACTTCAAAATGATACCAAATGAAAAGGCTGAGAAAGAAGAAGCTGACTAGTATATATAAAACAAAATATTCAAATTCTTGTTCTTCATACAATAACAATCCCTATCTTTCTTCTTCTTAGACAAGTAGGCTGAGCCTCAAATACTGCAATCAACAACGCTAAAAATGCCTAAGATTCAACACCCCTCAAAGTAGTATTGGAGCTGCCATTTCGAACATCCAGCTTATAGCCAGCACCATAGGTGGCATCAACAACACCAGTCAGTGCCTGGCACGCCATTGCCATTCCCTTCTACTCTATCCACTTTATGGGGATGGTGGTTTCCTTTCACTCCTCTAAAACCAGGAGGTCCACATGCAGTTTGAACATGCTTTAGATTTGGATCTTTCCGAGGTCGGCCAAGTCCCTACTTCACTGGTAGGACTGAAGGAGGCACCAACATTGTCGCCTTGGATAACTTGATTCACTTTCAGAAATTACCATTTACAATATTGAAGCAATTCTTTTGGTAGAAACTGGTTTTAGGCACGTGTAAGTAATGTGCAAGGCACGTGTTGTAACTGTAGTGAAGCATTCAATAGTATTGATATTGTGAGTGATTTGTGTATGATATTAATATTTGTAAAATCTTACTAAAAGAAAATTTGGGAATTTAGTAGAATGAATTGTATAGGCTTCATAGCTATAAATACGGGAGGGTAGGTCCATTTTTTCAGGCACAAATTAGTGAGAAAATGGGAGGGAGAGGCACCCTCTGGGAAACTGACCAAACATATACACAAAACCACAAAAATACAGCAATTGCAATCTGATTATTATCAGATAATTAAAGCCTTTACCTTTGAAGAGTGTATAAGAGATCACGTAGAGATTATTATACACAACAAAGCTTGATTAGAGTGAGAGTAATTTTAAGAAGGTACAGGGAAAGAGTGAGAACTAATGGCAAGAGTTTCCAGAGGATAGAAGGGCATTAAAGATATTTTCACAATTATGAATAAAGTTAACGATGCAATTGCTACATGTCAAACTTTGAGTGATTAAGTGACGAGGGCGTAAACAAACTAATGATATTTTCTCAATTATGAGCAAAGTTAAGGATGCTACTGCTATATGACAAAATATCTGTGGTAAAGTGACCAGAAAGTTAACAGGAATTAAACTAAGAATATGATATCACTTTTTTTCTCAATTATGGGCGAAGTTAATGGCGCTCTATCTTCTTCTTAGATAAATAGGCGAAGACTCAAATGCTGAAATCACCAATGCTAAAAAAGCCTAAATATCAATCAACATGCAGCAAAAAATTCTAACTAAAAATGCCAAAATTTTTCATCAACATTTGATGATCTCCCCAGAAACTGCACCAAGAAATGGTAGTATATCTTATTAACAGGAAAAAGGAATACCTCACAAGAACAAAGCACTGATTTTTTACAATATTGAAGAAATTCTTTTAGTAGAAAAAAGCAATAAAATAAACATGTGAAAAGGATAAAATTGCATATAAGATGAAGCTGAAGAGAAATTAATAACCAATTAAAAATGAGAGGTGAGAATTATTTCAAGACTTTACCTTGCGAAGAGTATACTAGATTGGACAGAAATATTATTTTGATAAAGCTTAAGTAGAGGGAGAGAGTAAATTTAAGAAACTTGGAATAGAGGGCTACAGAGTGTAGATAGATAGAGAGAGAGAGAGAGAGAGAGAGAGAGAGAGAGAGAGAGAGAGTTTCTGGAGGTTAGAAAGGAATTAATGATAATTTCTCAATTATGGCTGAAGTTAACGATGCTATTACTACGTGTCAAAATTTCAATGATAAAGCAACCAGGCAGTGAACATGAATTAATGCCATTTACTCAACTGTGGGCAAAGCAAACAATGCTATTGCTACATGTCAAAATTTTCTCATGATTAAGTCGCCAAAAATGTTAGTACCAAATCCTGGAGTGCCCAGCACATTGAGATGCACATGCCTTTGCTAGACATCTCCACCAATTCCATAACTCTTGATGCTTCTTTCTTTTCATTTTTTCGAACATTTTCAAGTTACTGGTGTAAATTGTTTTCCAACTGGGAAAATGCGAAAAATAGATGACATCCACAATTACTCAAAGACCTTTTGCTTTCGATTAATATGCAAAAAAAAAAAAAAAAAAAAAAAAAAAAACTTCATATTCCTAAAAATGTAAATTTATCTGTGTTACTAAATATGACACCAAAAACAAATGAGTTATCCAGTAGGCCCTTTGAGTAACGTTTCAAGTGGAAAAGAGCCACCAATTTAGGCCCTTCTACTGCCCATAGAACACTTGAATAGAATCCAAACTGTAACACAAAGCATATTATACAAAATTCAATCCCATCATGGGTACAGTCTTACATTCAGGACCATAAAATTCACCGGGGTCAAACAAACTAACGTTCAACGCGAACAAAATGGAGCTTTTAATGAAACAAGCACGGAGAATACATAAACCGATACACAGACACAATGATATATGCATATGCACACAGGCACACTGTCACGCACAGATAAGGGAGCTCTTTCTTGTACCTGACCATCCCATAAAGAATGTATTGGCCTTCTTCTGTCATTATGATCCAGTAATTTCTGCAGTTCAATAATGAAATTATGGTTATTTAAACATATATTTTCTGTCACTAGCTTTAGACCAACTAAATGCTGAGTTTGCTCTATCCTTTTCGAATTTTTCAAAGCTAGCAGTTACTAAAATTTTTCTAAAATATGTCAAAAAAATAGGAAACCATTTAGGGGAAACAGTTTATAGAAAAATTGCCTGCATAATGTTCTCAGTGTATTTACCAGAACTGACAGAATTGTGTGTGTGTGTGTGTGTGTGTGTGTATTGTATCATTGATTATCTAACTTTCTCAAATATTTATCAAACAACTTTCTGAAGGTATCTAATTGTGCAAAATTCCCAAAGAAAAATAGAGAATAATAATTAGCAATCAGGCACAGAAACACTATTATCAATAAACTGAAGTTTTAATTTTTATACTCTCATCATTCTATTTGAAAATTCAAAAAACATAAAGAAAAATCCCAGAATTTTGTAGGGCCCCCTTCCCTCCGCATCCCACCCATCAGGGCTCCAGCAGATTATAGCTCAACAAAATAATTCGCGGCAAAAAAAGTCATTACTGACGTCGAAAATAAGTGGGAAGTTAAAACACCAATATACAATTGCGAATGCTTCGATTATTACCATTTTGAGTAGGCCAGCAACGCGGGTTCCTTTCATCACATGCCATTCCACCATGCTTTAGCACTCAAGTATTGGCAAACAACAATACAAATACTGGATTTGGGACTGAATTAATAGGTAAGAATAGAAAATTGTTTACCGTTTTAATGAATTCAAATTGAATAAAATAATGTTATTTGTACTAGTTCATTTTAGTACACATCAGAGTTGGAGTTGTAGGAAGTGATAAAATACTATCACGTATCAACTCTAATGGCCATGTATATGTCACATGGGTGATTACAATAGCGAGCGACTGTAAATAACATTACTTAATTGAATAATCGGACAGCATGGAATCAATTAGAATCAGCAATAGACCGATTTCAATTCGACTCCAGTGATTCCCCATAAAACTGTCTGGCATATTTGTTTTAGTTGTGCTACTTGTACAATTAATTTGATAATTTATAAGTTTTTACATCTTACACATTTTTAAATTAGTTGCTTAACTCTTTTTATTTTATTGTGTTATGCTGTACATCCAATAATAGATAGGTGTGAAGATATTTGATTAAGTCAAAATCACATCAACCAAATAAAAAATCTTCAATTTCATCTTACAATTAACATCACATAAGCACAAATGTGTTTAAGTGGTGAAAATTTTTGATAATTTAAATTTAATTTAAAGTCTCCTTATCAATTCATAAATAGTAATTTACACCAAGCGCTCTATTTTTTTAACTAAACATCAACACATCGATGGAATTTAGAATTTTCTAACCATAATATCAAACTCACATGAATCAAAAGAAGGGTATGTGTACATGACCTCCAAAAATAAAAGAATACAATATATGAAGAAATGAAATATCAAACCAAATACGTTTTCAATATTTTGCAAAATTAAAAACTGAAAACATCAAATTGAACGCCCCCTAAATAAAGCAAGTAAAATCTCTAATGATCACTAATGTTGGGAAGGTCATGTCTGTTTATATGAACAAGAGCAAGGTGGCTTAGGCATGGTTGACTATCAATTTAGGGTAAATTCGAATGGTTATCAATTCTTATGTTATGGGAAAAAATTGAGATAATATTTATTAAGTTTTAAATTTATGAGAATGAGTATGGCTAATCGCCTAATCGTATATTTATTTTGTCAATTACTATCTATTTCAAAGATAGTAAATCTTTGGATCTATTATCATTGTGACAACAGATTTAACGATTTTTACTTTGGATCTATTATCATTGTGAGAACAAATTTAACGATTCAATAAAGTTGAAGTTAATAAAAGATATTTTATCATAGATTTTGATATAACGCATTGCAAAAATTCGTAAAATTTAAATGTGAGATTAGTAAATAACTGTTGTCACTGGAGAATAAGTAAACAATAGCCTCCGTGAAAGATGATGAAGTTTGTTGGATTTTTGGTCTACATTTTCATCGCAACTCGAGAATGTCGATTTAAAATGGAAAGATGTTCCTTGCTCATACATGAGTTCAAAATTCGTTGTCGTTCAAAAAAATTTCATGTCAGATCGAAATACAAGTATAGTTTTTAATCATAAAACTTCGCCATTTATACCTTTTTCCTCGACTAAACCTAGATGCTTGATGTTCTTTTTCTTTGTTCCCTGTGTGGTGGTAAATGTTTAAAACAACAAAAATCTCTATTTGTTTGATTACAAGAAATATTACAGTACAAGGCAAATAAGGTTAAATTATGTTTATGGTAGTCTACAATCGAGTCTGCATAACCAAAACCATTTACCATCAAGCACCTCTTTCCATGCAGAAAGTGCATATTTGATGACAATAATAACAAGAAAAATTTTTACCGAGGGAGGAAAAACAGTGCACACCTATGAGATTTTATGAGTAATTAAGCACAAAAGAAAAGATCAAGGGAAGGAGATTGTAGCAGACGAGATTTAAAAAGGAGAGATTCATCCAAGTCAACTCCTATGTGACTAAGGACCATTTTAGAAATTCTTGTGACTGAAGGAAAAAAAAAAAAAAAAGGAAAAAGAAAAAGACGACTGAAACTTCTCCTGTCACAGCTTTTCGAGCCTCCAAGTCATAAACTAAATCCTTCTGAAATCTTTAGTAGCGCACTAGAAATTGTTGAATTACAGCAGAAAGGAGATCACAGGCATACTTGGGAGACGTTTCTAGGCTCATTCTTTCGGATCAGTTTCAGTACTCTTAGCTTCATTCAACTTCCGAAGCAGAAGATGGTTGTTCAGGTACGTGAACGGGAATCTCCTTCATATTTTCCTGCAAAGCCTTGAATAAAGCAAATCCCGTTTAGGGTTTATATATAAAAATCTGTGTACATAAATTAATGAAGATGTTGTTAAGTTGAGGCAACGTCTTACCTGCAAAAGTTCAGTCATCCTTCCAGTTCCATAGTTGTACAGAGGTGACGGGACAGATGCAGTTTGTGCTGGCACAGTTGAGTAGTCATTAACACCGTAATCTTCAGGTGAAGGTTCCCATGCATCCTCACCGTTTTTGTTGTGAACCTCTAACGATCTTGAAGAGCCCGCCATCTGTAAATCCATTGATTCCATGCCTTCTCTTTTTTCAACCTCAGGCGTGCCTTCCTGCAATGAAGTATTTTCATTCCGCATGCTTTCTTGTGCAGCTTGATGCCCAAATTGGGGTCGTATGGCAGTAGGAATCTGGCCAGCAGGTTTAGATTGAACAGGTGGTAACATAGCTAATGGTTCAACCGACTCCACATCTCTGTCTTCCAAAAACAACATAGAAGCAGCACGGGATGCATCAGAAGACATTTGGCTACAAGTTCTCAGTCCACTTGATGGATTGACAGGTTGCAATACAACAGGAACCACAGTGCCCCTCACGCCCACTGGAGGAACAGAAGATACTATCTTTTGAGATGTATATTTGCATTTTGCGCCTAATGCTCCAGCTGTTCGAATAGCAAGTTTCTGGCCACGCGACCAAGTTCGGTTTTGAGCTGAGAAATTTATGTTGTTTCTTCTGATCATTTGAACATGTGGGGCTATGTCATTTTCAGCTGTGACAGGAACATAGTGTCCTGGCTTGAAAACAACACCTCTCAAAGTAGTATAGGAGTTGCCAATTCTAACATTGAGCATATAGCCAGCATCAAAGGAAGCCTCAATAACACCAGTCACTGCCTGGCCCACCATATTGTCATTTCCATCTACTCTATCCACTTTATGGGGACGGTGGTATCCTTTCCCTCCTTCAAAACCAGGAGGTCCACGTGCAGTTTTAACATGCTTCAGGTTCGGATCTTTACGAGGGCGGCCACGTCCCCGCTTCGCTGGCAGGACTGAAGGAGCACCAGAGTCGTCACCTTGAATAACTTGATTCATTTTCAGAAATTACTGCTAGCTCACAACCAAAGCTCGTTTAGATCTTTGGCCCTGCAAACAAATAAATCAACAAATTAAGGATTTGACCTCATCTTCAGCCCCAGAGGATGATGATTCTAGGTAGCTCTAATGTAAATTTCATAAATTGGAAAAGAATTCACCTATTTCATTTATCCAGTTAAAATAAACAAATTTAACTCCAAGAGCAAAAAAATCCATCTAAGTTAATATTTGAGAATTCAACATTAGCTACTACATCTTGGGAATGCGACTGCAGATGTTAGTAAAAATTTCAAGCACGAATGGATGAGACAATGAAATGAAGTTCATTGGGAATCATTGTAAGTATATAAGAAAAATAAGAACTGTGCAAACAGAGTGCAAACTAATTTGAATCAATATTTCAGCAACTTGATCTTGTACAACTTTGAACTGCCTTGTCCACCTAATCATATTTATACAAATTTCCACCGCTGGAGGTGGGAGTGAAGTGTGAGAGGGATTAACACAAAAATCAAATTGAAAGGAAAATTACACAAACAGAAAGAAACATATGCACAACAAAATTTTAAAGAATATACCTCGAGGAGCGTTGATGGATTCTTTCTTGGTAATAAAATAAGCTGAGAATGGAGCAATGCAGAACCCTGTATACAATAAGAGAACAGAGACAAAAACAGATAGAGATGTGGTAATTGGAGGAAATTGTGGTGATTTAGAGCAAATATACTGTTGTACAATAGGTTAACAAAGTGATGATGTCTTCATGAATCCATGACAACTCAAACCATCCATGCATAGCGCATATATATATATATATATATATATATGACCTTTTACTCAATCTGCCAAGCCGTTATATAATTTTTAATATCATCTTCTCCAACAACAATCAGATTCAGATTTATACAATCTCAAACAGATAAGAAAATGATAGAAAGTGCCACAGATTACCCGTCGCCACAAAATCACATGATCTCTGACCAAAATGATAACACCATGGTAAACCTTGCTGAGTCTTATGTCCACGGAATTCTCATATTAAATCTAGAGGCGCATATCATTGTTAGTTACACCTCATTGATCCATTATGATAAATGCGGCTAAGACATCCCATATGAGACATGAGACAATGCATTAAATAGGAGTTATTTTCAGAAGAAGAAAATAATTATTCTTTTCCTAAGCCGAATGCAGAAGTGCCCATCATATTAAGTACTTTCAAAGTAAAATATTTTTTATTGCAAAAATTTTTAAAAAAAAAAAAAATGTATAAATTGACACAGAAAATTGGATGTTTAAAGCTGGTGGTGAAATACAGGGAATGGTGGAAGAGTGACATACAAACAGTCAGAACAGAGTTTCTTGACAATGGAGGGGACCCAAATGTTTCGGATGCTTTCCTCATAAATGGTCAACCCAGTGATCTCTATCAATTCTCAAGATCAGGTCAATTTCAGGGGTGACCAAGAAACAATATAATAGAGGTAAAGTCTAGAATAAAAAAATTGAAAATAAACGTCACAACATATCAATCAATCCATGAAGAAGGAAAAATAGCAAAACCCAGAGCAAGAAATTAAATTTCTCGCAATCAAAACAACCTAAAATTTAAAAACTCGGAAGCATCTTTTACATGCATATGCATAATTATATATGCGGTATAAGAAATCAACAAAAGCAAAGCTAAGTAAACCCAACAACTAATTCAACCTTTTCATTTACAAGAACCTTACTTCGATTATTTCCCAGTCTTTTTTGCTCTCTTTTTTTCTGGTGAAACCACAAACCCTAGGAGCTGTAACCACTGTCAGCCTTTATATCTGGTCTAGATTCCTTGCCACAACGGCCATTGGAGAAGACTGAAGTCGTGTGAACAATGAAGCAAAGGAAACAGCAGTAATAGCCTTTTTTGGAGAAATGTGAATGGAAGATTTAGTTGGGGACAAAAAGCATACAACAGATATGAACCACAATGGAGGAAAATATGGTTCTGCAATTTGAAGTAATCTCTGGAAGAGAAATGAAATGAGAAAAGTGAATACGGACAAAAAACGGCGTCATTATACATCTCTTTACATTTTGACTTGTGTTACCTGCCATATTGTGTCATTATACCTTTTTAATACCATTTACTCGATCTGATTTAGATTTTATATAATCTCAAACAGATTTTTGAAATGAAAGAAAGTGCCAGTGTATCACAAATTACATGGTTTGTGATCAAGATAATAACTCGTTGGTAAACTTTGATGAGTATTGTAGCTATGACTTTATCGTTTCATTGTTCAAGCACACGACTGGTGAAGTAAGTACCAATGCCAGCACATAAGAAAGAATAATAAAAACAAGTGATATTTTGGGTTAAAAATTGATTTTTTCTGAGTAGTCCTACAACCTAAAGAAGCTAAATTTGGTACATGCTGAAACTCTCTTGACAAGGGTATGGAGCACATTGCCTACAGTGAGTCCCACCCTTCTCTGGCAACTATTGAGACTTGCTGAATTCAGCTTATGCATAAGCTTCCTTCAAAAAAATTGGCATCTACAGCCCACGGTTAACTTTAGTTCATGGGAAATTACTAAATGTAACAGCATTGCAGCTTTTTCACCTGACATACCACATTAGCTCATCGTGATAAATGCGGCTAAGACTCCCTATATGAGATAAGACGACGCATTAAATAGGAGTTATTTTAGTTTGTCCACTACTTTTTTACAAGTAAAAAATGCAGGTTCAAAACGGTATCAAATGAAAAAGTGGTGCAAGAAGAAATTGACTCGTGATAAATGCGGCCAAGACTCCCTATACGAGATAAGACGACGCATTAAATAGGAGTTATTTTAGTTTGTCCGCTACTTTTTTCCAAGTAAAAAATGCAGGTTCAAAACGGTATCAAATGAAAAAGTGGTGCAAGAAGAAATTGACTCGTATATATAAAACAAAATACCTATGTTTCGGTTTGCTCCTAGTAAAATTAACGAAACCTATCTTTTTTCTTCGTACACGAGTAGGCTGAGCCTCAAATACTTTATATCATAGCACATTAACAATTCTAGAAACACCTAAATGTCAATCAACAAGCAATTAAAAAAACTCACAAAAAAAAAGGCCTAATCATTAACCGATGCAACAAAATATACTGGCTTAAAATTTCTAAGTTTCAATTAACATGCAACAAAAAAATGTTAACTAAAACTGTCTTAATTGCAATTAACATGCAACCAGGGAACTAACAAAAAACGCCTAAATTGAAATAAAAAAATGGATTACAGCACCAAAACTGCACCAGCAAATCGTAGTAGATAAAACCTTACTAATACTCACAGGAAGTCTGATACTTTTACAGTGTCAGAGCAATATTTTAGCACAAAAAAGAATCAATATAATCAAAATTACAAAATACACTTAGTAAATGGATGAAATTGCGTGTATGATGAAGCTGAAAGAGAAATAATTTAAGCAAGATTAAGACAAGAAATAACTAAATAAAAATAAGAATTTGAAAATAATTGTAGATTTTACCTTCGAAGAGTTACTGAGAGTAATAAATATTTACGATAAGATTAAGTACAGTGAGAAGGTAATTAAGAACCCTAGAATAGTTGGAGTACAGGCTACATGGTGCAATGCGAGGGTGAATTAATTGAAAGTATTTTTGAAAAGTTAGAAGGGTATTAATGACAATTTTAATTACTAGCGAGGTTAAATATGTCGTAAATTACAAGTTTAGCCCACGTTTGAGCCAAATTATTATGAAAATGAGAATGAAAAATATAGTCATTATAGACCCTACACAAGAGATAAAAATCAAATATGGTGACTTAATATAATGGATAACGATCATATTTTTCATGTTAATGAGGAAATAATGGGGCTCAAACAGAGCCTTAATAGTGAATGACAATTGTACCACCAATAAATTATTGCCTCTTGTGTCACTCACCCTTCTCTATCAAACATACTTGGATCTATATACCTTTATTTTATCTTCTATTTTTCTCTCTTTTCATAATACTAGTGTGGCAACGTGCGTTGCACATTAGTTGGTTTTGTTGGAGGTTAACGTGAAGTATAAATGTATAGTGATTGCTAAATGAATACATAGAACAAATGTGTTGGTGCAGTGATCAAGTGGAATAATTTGAATAAACACATATGCTTATATTTCAACTCCTATAGTATGAGAAGAAAAGAAAGAAAAAATTCACTTCATTAATTATGCTCCTTTGAAATTATAGACTCAACTAAAAATTACTGGATTTTGAGAAATCGCCATATAACAAATTTAAAAAAAGGAAATCCTCCACAACATAGATAAATTAGAAACATGAGCAAACATGAAAATGGTGCCCAAACTTCATCTTATTCAATCTTTCCAACCCCACATTAATATCTTGGACAATAAATTAAAGCAGAAAAAAATCTAATATTTGCTTACAACAAGTCCGAAAGAGCTTTTTATCTCCATCCAATTCCAGATAATGCAAAGTCCTCCTCTAACTTTCCACAGCAGTAACTACTCCTCTAACTTTCCACAGCAGTAACTACTAATCACAATTTCAATTGTCCATTAATCTCAGTAACGTAAACCCTTATGGAAAATAATAAGATATAGACTGTAACAATCAATTTTCTCTACAACAATTTCATTAATATGAACTCCTTAAATTGGAAATATGAACTCCGGAAGATATAGACTGTAACAAACAAATTTCTCTCTTTCTCATTTATGGAAAATCAGAAATTAGCAATTAGTTTATAAATACTTCTAAAGGAACCATCACATTCCATAAGACCCAAGAAAGATGAAGCTAACTTAGGGACCTAGAAGTGCTTTCTAACTATTTGAGAAACTGTTAAGAAATTTTGTACTAAAGAAACTATTTGAGAAGGCAAATTTTGAACTCAGGAACTTTCCAATAGTTCAGGAAATTTTGAACTCAATAAACTATTTGAGTGGCCAATAACTCAGTTTTCAATCTTTTCACCTCTTACGGAGAATTTAAGTATGGTGCAAAAAGACATTTTATTCACTTCGCTTTTCCCTTTGAAATAATTAATTAACTTTGAAAATCATGTCGACAAAAAATAATTTAAAAATAAGACCTATAGAACAACAAATTACGCTCTATATCAAAGCCAATAATGTAAAGATTGCAATTGATATTCTTGTGATAGAATAGGAACAAAGAGTCCATCTCAATTGTTAAGAATGCCGGAAAATAATTATTTATTTCGCAAGACTAAAATCTCGAATTGATAAGTATAATAATCATTTAAGCTGCTATAATTCCCTATACAAAAGTTAATAAAATTAAATATAATATAGACAATCAAAATTATATTCACAAAATATGAGTTTTGACCATCAATATCAACTGCATTAAGATTAAAACTATATTCACAAAATATGAGCATTCACCATCAACATATCTCGTTTTTCCTTCTGTGTCCATGTTAAATTATATTCTCCCTTAAATTATATAAATCTTTAATAAAAAGTTAATTTGTCCAACTGATTGATAATATGATACAACCTTCCCATCGTTAGTCTATTATATCCACGAGAAAAATATGTTAAGAGAATTAAAAAAGACAAATTAGCATAACATGAAACCAAAGAAAAACTATTAATTCATACAAGCATTCCATCAAATTAAGTAACTAAATCTACAAAATATAGATTTTATTTAACTAAATGAAATTGTAAAAAAAAAAAAAAATTGTGTGTTAAAAGAATCTGATTTGAAGAGGAAAATGGAAAAATATGGTGAAAGTAAATTTTTTGTTACTATAAGAATGGTTGCGTGAGAAAGTCAACAAAATAAATAAATAAATAAATAATAAAAAATTCTATTTCATGAAGCATATAAAAATAAAAATAATAATAATAATAAATTTTTGTTGCTCTGTGCACGCGCGGAACAAAAGTTCTGAAACTCTATGCGTGCACGGAGCTAAGCATGGAGTTAATCTTTTGTAAGTAGATTGATGGATAGATAGTGTTAATTAAAGAAGAGAATGAGTTTAAAATGTTATTTTGACATGAATAAAAATATTTATTTTAACAAAGGTAAAATAATAATAATAATAAAAACATTTCTTTAAACCAAAAAAAAAAAATGGAAAACACTTTCTCATCAAAACCATAGGAATTGGTTTTCCTGAAAAAGCAAGAAAACAAGATTACGCGAGGTGTTCCATGGAAATTTTGGCTATCAAACATGCCAAAATGGTGAGTGAATTGTCCAAATGGTCACTGAACTTTGTAAAAGATTTTCAAAGGATCACCGAGCTTTGAAAATCACCTTAATAGTCACTGAACTTAGTAAAAGGTTTCTACAGGGTCATTGAACTTTAAAAATCACCTAAATGGTCACTGAACTTTGTAAAAGATTTCCTAGGAGTTGCTGAATTCAATGACCTCGTGGAAACTTTTTATAAAGTTAAGTGATCTCGTGGAAACCTTTTGCAAAATTCAGTAACCATTTATGTGATTTTTAAAGTTCAGTAACCCCGTAGAAACGTTTTGTAAAGTTCAGTGACCATTTAGGTAATTTTTAAAATTCAATGACCATTTGGGCAAGTCACTCCCAAAATGGTGGAAAATGGATTTGAATCTCATATTCCATGGAAAATGTAATCTATCAAACATGCCCTAAGTGTATATAAAATTTAGAAGAATTCCTTTGTAAATGTGAAAAGTATTTATAAGTTGTTAAAATTGACAATTATTCTAAGTGATTATCAATTTATATTTTATTGATATGCTTGTTTAGCTATCACATAGATATAAATCTTAAGAGGGAAAATACATTTTTATTTTGGTTGTAAACCAATTTACTGTTGACCTAATGGTTGACTTCTTGTTTTGATTATTACAAACAAATTGCGTTTGATTCTAACAAATTGAATTTAAGTGATTGGTAGTGATTATTGCAAATTTATGACACGAAAGATTTAGATCGGGAATCATGCAACCTTGACGCAAAAAGATATACACACAAGATTTACAAACAAGGAAATGGAAAACAAGCTTTCACGTACCAAACTGTATTGGATGAAGAAATTGAAGACATTAGCTATAGATGCATTTGTATACTCAAGTGTAAAGGTAAAACTCTTTAATATTTCGCATCGATTATAGCTCAAACAATTTCTATGCACGGGAATTATCATGACAAACTTTAATTGCATAAAAATCATTTTCAAAAGATAAGTAATTTGATTTTTACAATTAAACATTTATAAAATTACTTATCTATATGAAGTATATAAGGAAATCATTCAAATACCTTAAAGGAACTTTTCACGAAAAAAGAAAAATTTGATGGAAAAATAAAAGGCCCATCCAGACGTCTGGATGGGGTGGATGAGATGTCCAACGATCACATTTTTTAACCGTTTGGCAAACGGCTAGTTAATCGTCCGGATAACAAGCGAACGTCCGAATCGCTTGTTCGGATCTCCTGATTGATGGCTATAAATACCTCTCTTTATATCTCTTTGAAGGCAAGCTTTTTACAACATTAAAGAGAGTTATTTATTGATCTTGTCTACCTTGTTTTTCAATCTTTTAGAGATCAAAATATTTATTTGTTGAAAAACTTTTTGAGTATGTGACTTTTTTTGAAAAATTATATATCTCAATAAAAGTTTTTCACACAACACTTGAGCTATATTTTTAGTGATTTATTGAAGTGTTTGTGCCTAATTCTCTCTTAATATTTAACTGTGTTCATACCATTTGTTAAGAGAGAAACCTTTCAATTGTAACTTTGATTTTCTTGTGGTTCGAGTTGAGGTCCCGAAAAGCTCAACGTGTAAAAGGATCAGTGCTCCTTAGTTACAAGTCACCAGAAGTATTGTAAGGGTTGGATTGCACCATAAGTCAATCAAAGAAAGTGAAAAAGGCTTTACTCGTGACGGAGAGCTTAGTAACGGGGGACGTAGATCGTGATTGGATCGAACCTCCTTATTATATCGTTTGCACTCCCCTTTCTCTTCCTCTTATTATTTTTGTGTTGTCTTGTTTATTCATAGTTATTTGCTTAAATTTGCGTTTATTTTAGAAAAAGTTTCAAATAACCAATTCACCCCCTCTTGGTTAGTTATTCTTTGGCTTTCAATTGGTATCAGAGTTTGGTACTCTTTTTTTTATTCTACAATCTTGAGTTATGGCTAACCAAATTTTTCAAAATAGTGATGGACACTCTACAAACCGGCCTCCTTTCTTTAATGGTACACATTATAAATATTGAAAGGCTAGGATGATGATTTATGTTCAATCTATTGATTACAATATTTGGGAAGTTATAGAATATGGTCCATATGCTCCTACTAAAACTATTAAAGTAGATGGTACACCGGATCAAACTCTCTCCAAATCTAGAGAAGAATACGATGATGAAGATAAGAGAAAACTATCATTAAATTCCAAGGCTAAAATTCTACTTTATTGTGCACTTGATAAAAATGAATTTAATCGAATTAGTACATGTGA